CCTTTCATCTCTCTCCTCTCTGGAAAGAACCACCCAAGACACCTGCTAAATAAATCAACTACACAGAAATCAGTAAGCCCACCCAGGGAGAGGCACAATCAGGAACAGCATCTTTGTCCTCTTCCCAGGGCAAGAAAGATACAGCAAGGGAGCACTTTTGAGGGCCATGCTACCCAGCCCAACATGGAGGGAAGGTCTAAATGCATTGATCCATGGAGGAACTCAGGTGAGTGGGTAGGGAAAAGATCCACATACCCAGGTCCTAGTGATTAAGTAAAACTGAGCAATAATAGCTTTGACTCCCTTCATTCCCAACACAAAAATTACAGTGCAGGAGACAAATGTTGCCAAAACTATTCTATAATCTATGTCCTCTGTGGGAATGTCAATCAGCTCGACACAGTGTGTGTGCGTGTGTGGTAGGCATTTGTGTGTGTGTGTGTGTGTGTGACTGTATGGGCTCATTCAAGCAACCACAAATTTTCAAATGAGTTTGTTTCTTGTCTGTTTTTTTTTGTTTTTGTTTTTTTGCCAGTCCTGGGGCTTGAACTCAGGCCTGGGCACTGTCCCTGGGCTTCATTTTGCTCAAGACTAGCACTCTACCACTTGAGCCACAGTGCTACTTCTGGCTTTTTCTGTTTATATGGTACTGGGGAATCGAACCCAGGCTTCATGCATGCGAGGTAAGCACTCTACCACTAAGCTACATTCCCAGCCCTCAAATGAGTAAGTTTTGATGTAGAAAGTAATATGGGGTGGGGCTGGGAAGGTGGCTCAGTGGTAGAGCGCTTGCCTTGCATGTCTGAGGCCCTGGGTTCAATTACTCAGCACCACATAAGCAAAAAGAAAAAAGCCGGAAGTGGTGCTGTGGCTCAAGTGGTAGATCATTAGCCTTGAGCTGAAAAGCTGAGGGACAGCGCCCAGGCCCAGAGTTCAGGCCCCACTACCGACTCCACCCTCCCCCCCAAAAAGAAAGAAAGTAATATGAGGAATATAACCTTTCATCAAGTCAAAACTTATACACCAAAGAATCAGAATAACAGCAAAAATTAAAGAAAGCCTAAGTACTGAGCTCAAAGGAATGATAATAAAAAAAAAATCAATGAAATTGCTGGGTGCTGGTGGCTCATGTCTGTAATCCTAGCTACTCAGGAGGCTGAGATCTGAGGATTGCAGTTCAAAGCCACCCATACACGAAAGTCTGAGATTGTTATCTCCAATAAACCTCTCAGAAAACTGGAAGTGGTGCTATGGCTCAAGTGGTAGAGTGCTAGCCTTAAGCTGAAGAGCTCAGGAACAGCACCCAGGTCCAGAGTTCAAGTCCCACTACCGGAAAAAAAAATCAATGAAATTAAAGAAGACATTTATAAATTAATCAGTCTATTCAAAATAATTAAATGATCTCAAAGATAATTTAAATGTAAATGAATGATAAGTAAATGCAAAGCAAGAGCTAAGTGAGCTAAAAATACAAATACACAACTAAAGAAAATTGAAGTTAACAATATAAACTGCTAAATGAAGAAGTTATTGCAAGACATTAACAAGGGATCTCAATAAAGAGATAGGAATACCAAAAAAAAAAATAAAAGCAAAGCCCTGATTATGAAAAATACAATGGAAAAGGCATCTCCAGAGTAGAGCAAATAGAAAACAGAAGTTTACAAGATCAAATAGACATAGAAGAAAAGGTTGAGGAAAGCAAAAGTTAAAGAAAGGAATTTCCATCTTAAATGGTCATATGTAGACAGCTATTGGAGCTATTGTGATCCTCTTCTAGGATAGTCCTAGACATATACTAATTATCACAAATGAGGGAAACCATGGAGCCTATGTTTCTTTGGGCCTGGCTTACTTCACTTAATATAATTTTTTTCAAGTCTTTCCATTTCCTAACAAATAGGGCAATGTCATTCTTTCTGATGGAAACATAGAGTTCCATTGTGTATATATACCACATTTTCTTGATCCATTCATCTACTGAGAGGCATCTGTATTGGGCATATAAGATGATGCTAAGTGAAATGAACTCTAAGATATGGAAACAAGAGGATTTTTTTGTTGTTTTTAATGTACTATGTGAAGTTATTACTTCTTTCTTGTGTCCCTCCCTCCCTTCCCTCCTTCCCCCCTCCCCCGCATGGTTTATCCCTTGTTGTCACTGTATTTGACTGTATTTGATTTTGGTACCCGGTGTATTGTATATACATTAATCTGAAATAGGGAAGGGAAGGGGAACAACAAAATGGTGAGACAAAAGCCAGGCCCAAAGAAATATAGGTCCCATGGTTTCCCTTATTTGCAATAACTAGTATATGTCTGAGACAAGCAGAAATGGTCAGATAAGTTGATGTTAGGCAAAATGAACCCCAAGATAAGGACTCAAATGGTTTTTCTTTCTTGCTATTGTTTCTAACATATTTATAAGATGATTTCTTTGTTGCTTTGTATGTCCCTCCCTCATGGATAACCCCTGTTTTCACTGTATTTGATGTTGGTGTAATTTGTGGAGGGGAAGGGAAAAATAAATTGCTTAAATAGGGTTACAGGTGGACCCATTGCAACAATGAGATGTACAAGACGTTATATTGAAAATGAACTTTACAACTTTGGCGGTGAGTATGTGTAGGGGGGAGATGGGAGGGCAGGGATGGTAAGGGGAAACAAAGGAGGAGGCAATAATGCTTGATAAGAAATGTACTCATTACCTTGCTCCATAATTGTAACCCCTCTGTATGGTATTTTCATAATAAAAACTTATTAACAATAAAAAATCCCCCTCCCCCCTCAAGAGAGCGAACCAATGAACCAATGTGACAGTGATACTCACAAAATAACATGTTGGAAATGAACTTTGTATCTGTGGGGGAGGGACTGAGGGGAGGGAAAGTGGAAGAAAAATGAGGAAATGGATAACACAATGTTCGACAAGAAATGTACTCACTATCTTACATATGTAACTGTACATCTCCTTGACAATTAAATTAAATAAAAAAAAGAAAGGAATTTTCAACAACTCCAAGATGCTACTAAAAACTAAATTTAGGAGTGATGAGCACTGAGAAATGTAAAGAATTGATGGTTAAATGCATAAGAAACAAATTCAGTAAAAAAAAAATCTTTCCTAAACACAAATCCATCAAGATGTAGGAAGCTTTTAGAATTGCTTAATAGACCAGATGAGAAGAGAACCTCCCCACAATATATTATAGCTAAAATAAAAAATATAAAGTAAAAGGAAAGAATATCAAAAAGTCATGTCAATGGATAGTGCATCAAAATATTAGCAGGTTTCTGAAGAGAAACTTTTAAAAGCAAGGAGAGCTTAGAACGATGCATTTCAAGCATTGAAAGTCAAGAACTGTCAACATACAGTACTCTACCCAGTGAAGCCCCCATTCACAATTTATGGGCAAAGAAAACCTTCCATGATAAATAAAAACTAAAGCAATTATGACCACTAAGCCAGTAGTACAGAGCACATTTAAAACTATCCTACACACAAAGGAGGCAGATCAACAGAAGTATGCAAATAACGGAGAAAGCACATTCCAACAGATTTAGTAGATACACAAAGCAGAAACAAAGAATCAGCACTAGAATTTTTTTATGGAAAGAGATACTTACATATCTTTCAATTTTAATACTCAGTTCTCCCAAACAAAAGACATAGAATGATGAGGTTAAAAAAAGGGCAAAACATAGCCATCTTTTGTCTCCAAGAAATGCATCTTACTAACAAATCAAAAACACAGGAAAGGATGAAATTTTGAAAAAGATCTTTGAAGGAAATGGATTCCAAAGCATACAGAAAGAGTTTTACTCATATATGATAAAATAGGCTTCAAAATTAGTCAAAAGAGGTCAAGAAGGTCATTTTAATAAAGGGAATAAGCTAGCAAGAAAACAGCTCATAAATATTTTTGCCTAGGCTGACCATGAACCACAATCCTTCTGATCTCAGCCTCTTAAGTATACTGGAATACAGGCATGAACAACCTTGTCCAGCCTCTTTGTTCAACATCTTCATACTCTTAATCACTTTTGGAGACAGTTATTGACATTTGATTCTTTATTCCTGCTATATATGGTTGCACTCTGTGCAATATGTCACAGAAACTTTTTCAGAATCTTGACTATATACTATTTTAGATTGCTGTTATTTTATTTATCACAAACATATAGAGAGTATCTTTGCATGTATACATACATATCTTTGTTTTACTACACATTTATAATAATGTTAATACACAATTATGATAATCTTTCTATTGGCTAGTTTCCTAAGGTATAAGTGGAATAAGGTATTAAATAGCATATTTTAAACCTACAGTTTAGGAGCAAAACAAGTTTAGGAAAGAAAGATTTTTGATAAATTCCATATTATGATGTCTGGTTCTTGTTCTTTTATTGAATGGTAAAGCATAAGAAGAAGTTTGAAGGAAACAGAACCACAACAGTATAACAGAGAGCATACAATTAAAAGCAAAGAATAAAAAGTAAGGACCAAATTTAAGAGAAACAACATGTCAGTAAGAGAAAAACAAGTAATTACAAACAATGCCTTCAGAATGAGAAAATTAATATTTGAGCTTTCTCCTATCATCATCCTATCCCTCTATTTCTTCATTTTTCTTCAAGTGTTTGTCAACATTTTCAACCACTACACATGAACACATGAAAGGACCTTTTCCAGTGGTACATTGAACTGTGAAGAATTGTAGAGGATCAAGCTGCTCAGTAAATACTTGTGAGAAAAAAATGATCATTTTAAAAGGTATTTGGGAGATGGGAAAGTGAAGGATATGGTCTCCCTAAAAGGAGGAGTGAGAATGAGTCAGAACATGGTGATTTAAGCAGGATGTAAGTGCCCTCAGAAGTTTGTCTGTCGTGGATTAAAAACGGCTAACTACTGACAGCTTGCTTATACACCAAGAAACTAGAAGAGGCCAGGTAAAACGGAGCAGATCCCACTTGTGAGTTTGTTAAGAGTGTGCTCCCTAAGCAGTCTTCCTGTTCATTAGTTTCCTCAGGCCTTGCTTCAAGTCTTTGTTCCTCAGGCTGTAGATGAAAGGATTTAGCATGGAGGAGAAAACTGTGTAGACTATTGTCGCCATGTGGTCCTGGGTCGTATACGTGGACACTGGCTGTAAGTAGACGTAGAAGATGCTTCCATAAAAGAGTGACACGACGGTGAGGTGAGACCCACAGGTGGAGAAGGCCTTACGTTTCCCCGCAGCGGAGGGAATCTTCAGAACTGCGATGAGGATTCGTAAGTAAGAGAAAGCAATGCACACAAAGGGGGTCACCAACACCACAGCCCCTTCCATTAGTAACACAACTTCGTTGACAAGTGTGGAAGAGCAGGATAATTTCATCAGAGGGCTGAGGTCACAGAGAAAATGGTGGATGACATTGGAGTCACAGAAGGTGAGACGATTCAGCAAAAGTACATGGAGGAGTGAGTGGAAATGAGGAAATGAACAAGAGAAGCTCACCAACAGGACACAGAGGCGGGGGTTCATGGTGGTGACGTAGTGGAAGGGGTCACAGATGGCCACGTAGCGGTCAAAGGCCATGACTGCCAGAAGACAGCTGTCACTGTTTCCCAAGGCATAGAGGAAATACATTTGCGTCAGGCATCCGGAATAGGAGATAGTCTTTCTTTCTGACAGGAAGTTTGCCAGCATCTTGGGAACGACAGTCGTAGTGAAGCAAATGTCGGTGAAAGACAGGAAACTCAGGAAAAAATACATGGGGGTCTGGAGACGGGGATCTGTGCGGATGGCCAGAATGATGAGCAGGTTCCCTGCGACGGTGACCAGGTAAATGATGAGGAAGAGGACGAAGAGTGGTTTTTGTTGCTCAGGCTGAGAGGAGAGTCCCAGGAGGATGAACTCGGAGACGCTGCTGGTTTGATTGACTCTTTCCGTTGACTTGGTCTCCATTATAAAGACCATTTGTTACTTAACCTAATCCAGTTTTATAACCCAGATCCCACGAACCCAGGAATTCTTTGTTTCATCTGTCAGGTCACACTTAGCTACTGGGTAGGCATAGTTTATCACTCTCATAGGCTTTCTCTGGTTTTCCCACCCAGATGTGGTTGTGGGCATCAACCACAACTTTATATTGAAAGCTGGAAGGACAGAAGTAGACTTTTCCTTTAGATACTTCTACAGCTTCAAGTCAGACTTGTTTACCTTTATATATTTTTTTAAATTACAGTGTATTAAGATTGTACATCCTTGTAGAATGTCGAATAATTTAACACAGGCCTACCACATGCATTGATCAAATCTAGCTTTCCTTTATCCTCCCCTCCCACATGCCGTCCTAGCAATCACCATGATACATTCAGGCTAAGAGTGCTATGAACGCTCCTACCTGGGAATGGAATAGCACACTCTTGTCATCCAGTTATTCAGAAGGTGGGGGCAGGATAGAGGCTGGTTTAGTAAAAATAAAAAAAAAACCTTATCTGAAAAAAAAATAGCTAAAGTAAAAAGGGCTGGTGGTATGGCTCAAGTAATAGAGCACCTAGCTGACAAGTGCAGGGCCCTGACTTCAAACCCCAGGACCAAAAAAACCAAAACAGTATGAAACAAAACTAAAAACGAAAACTTAAAAAAAACTAAAAAGTGTAGCTTGTCTGATCCAGCTATTTGTATCCAGCCGTTCGTGTCTCCAAAGAAAACTGAATTGGCATACTGAAAAGATAATTGCATTCTCATGTCTATTGTGGCACTATTCACAATTATCTACAATATGGACTTGAGCTAGATGGATAAAGAAAAAATATGTATGGATGTATTTTACATACAAGTATGATATATATAATATATTTGTACATAATTTATATATAATATATATAAAACATATATATTGATTATAGCACAATATTTGGCCATAAAGAAAAATGATTTCCATTCCACTAGCATTTATTCTGTGAAAATCAATGCTCCTCTAGTAAGGAGGAAACAATAAAGAGGTAGATCCCTGCATTTGTGGAGATTGCATCTAATTGGGACACTAGATCATCAACAAGCAATATAGTATACTATCAGACAGGGATAAAATACATCTTAATATATGATATATGATAATATATGATAAATACAATATAGGATAAAATATATCATAAAATATATCAATGCATGAGAATGGAAACAGAATTGGAATGTTTTAAAGCATGAGATCCCAGGATGCTTATTCCTTACAAAATCACACACAGTTGTATCATATGAAAGTTTATCTCTTCATTGCTTTGGAAATATAATATTTATCAAAATAAGAAACAGACAAAAAGCTGAGGACTGTTGTACCCAGTTCAGCAATGTTCTTTTCCTGATTACTTGGCATAAAATGATTGGGTCACACTCCTTAACCCATGCCATGCCATCATTAACAGTCTTCAGGCTTCTATTTTTAGAAAATAAAAATCCTTTGCCTTGAATCATGTTTGTACAAGATAGGTACTCATCACTGAGTATTCAATTTTGATTTTTCCTATTCATCCTCAAATACGTATCCATACATCTAATATCCATATATATCCATATTATGTTAGTGTATATGTTTTCCTAGTAATTACCTAGGGTTGGAAATCAAAGTGAACTTATTTTGGCACACCAACCACACAAAAACTCAGAAATGAGACTAAGAAAGAACTAAATTCCTTTTTAGACTCTATACCTTGTGCATAGACACATTATACTTTAAACATTCTAAGATAATGATTATTCATATATTCTTGGCTGCCATAAAATATCTTCAACAGAAATACCTGTGTGTCTCCAAAATGCTTAAAATACTTGCTTTAGAGCTGTCATATCCTTTCACATGCTATCAATGAACACTGGAATTTCCACACATTTAAAGTACCAACCATTTTATTGCTACTATTGAATATGGGGTGTGTCCCCAAAGGTCCACATGAGAGTGACATGATTGAGAGGTGACACCTGGTAGACATGCTGAGGTCACTGGGGGTATACTCTAAGGACTGTGGGACCTTGCACACTCCCTCTTTGCTTCCTAGATCACATGATAAGTGCTCTTCTCCCTGCCATCAGCTCCCACCATGATGTGTTGCATTATCAGAGGCCTAATTGGGACTAATCAATCATGGCCCAGAATATCCAGGAGCCAAAATAAATTCTTCTCTCTTTACCAGTTAATCCTTTGGGTATTAAATTCATTTGAATGAGAACATTTTACTAATACTATATATATGTATACATTAACAATATATATCTTATATGTGTATTTAAAAATTAAATGCTATGTTTTCCTAATAAGTTACTGAACATATTTAAATCCAGATTTATTCATTTGTAGAACTGAAGGCAAATATCTACATTGTCATGAGAAAGAGATAGCGCATATAAAGGATTGTAAAAGGGAACAAGAATAATGTGAGTATTCAAATCCCTTATCTGCTATTCCTGAATATTCTAAAACATCATTAATTCAGATGTTTAGTAGATCACATCCTTCACTGTCTAATTCTCAGGCTAATTTCATGGCTGTTGTCAGATTTTCTAGGAGGAATACTTGTTTATGCATGGAATGATTTAAGTGAAATGGTCATGGTGAAGGTTAATAATCATAGCCAATATTTATTGAAAAATTATTAATGCAAGGCACATGCTAAGAAGTTCATTAAATTCCATTATATGTGATTGTAAATCATGTAGTGTTCCTATACATACATCAGGGAAATGAAATTTAGAGCAATGAAGTTGTTTGTCCAAGGTCAATTAAAAAGTGAACAGTAACCATGGTTTGAACTCCATGCTGACTCACAATGGTGCCAGTCTCTTAGCTTTATGCCACACCTTCTCATGGTATGGATATATGTATACACATTCATATGCACCACATACAAACAGATATCATAAACACACACACATATATGCATGGATTGGAGCAATGTTTTCTTCACTTTGATAATTTTATCAGTGAATTACTCCCTTTCCCCACCAACCATAAAACTTACCAACTTGCTCATCTTGTGTTCAGAATCATTCTTATAACTGTAAGAGAGGTCTCATTCATGAAAGTTTCCTGGATAATCTGGGATGCAGCAAATTATTGATATTTAGTTAGTGCTAAGGGAGGTTGGATGTTCCAGGTATGAAGATCACTGATAACTAGAAAAACAGAAAAGAAAAAAAAGTTTAGAACTGTGAGTCAGGAAGAATAATTTCCAAAACATATTGTGTGTGTATAATTGGAATAAAAAAATGTCCTAATGGGTTATTCTTCCACCAAAACGTATATTGTCGCTGGCATAGAAGCCAGACTGGATAGACGTAAGACTAAAAACCGAATGCAAGGTTTTATCGGGTCCCATGACTTCTTAATCCATGAAATGTTTTTTAACTAGGAAAGGGAGATTAAAGAGTTAGTACCAGACTGGGTTGGACGACCAATTTACTAAAGCTCATCTCCATATCTAGAGATTTCTCTTTGCTTTCAACATTTTCCAGAAGCTGAGATTCTGTACAATGTCTGAAAATGAGTTTCTGATAATCTCAGGTTTCTGCCCTAAATTTCTAGGCTGGTTAGCTGGTTAGCTGCCTCCTTTCATTAAAGGAGGAAAAAACTGATAAACTTCTCAAAAGAAGAACTCATATAACTGTAACTCCTCTGTACCTCATCTTTAAATGACAATAAACTTTAAAATGGTAACTTATCTCCCTTCTCTGTCTTCAACCCTCCACTTCATTCCTAGCCTCCGGCCCCCAGTATGATGCTGCGTTCACAGCTCCCCTTTAAGAAGACCCCAAGAAGTCAGAACACTCTTGTTGTGGACCCCAGTTAGCTTCTCGTTGCATTGAGTTCTGTTCTCCTGGGTCTCTGGAGCCTTGTTAGGATGAGTTATTTGTGGTGTAATGTCTCAGGGGAGTTTTTTCCTATCATTGCTCTAAGCAGAGAGGGCAGAATGAGAACCACAGTTAGAACAGCTGACCACAGGGGACAAAGGACACCAGAGATTTCCTGTTTAGCTGCTGAGGCTAATTTCAGAACTCCTTAGCTTGACTGAAAATTCTCAAGGGCTTGGTTCAGTTTCCCTAATATTATCAAGAGTGGCTACATATTTATGTGGGTGAATATTTTTATGTTTTGGATGGCTGTTTTTGTTTTTGCCAGTCCTGGGGTTTGAACTCAGGGCCTGGTCACTGCCCTTGAGCCTCTTCATCCTCAAGGCTAGTATTTTACCACTCCACAGCACCACTTTTGGATTTTTCCAAGTAGTTTATTAGAGATAAGAGTCTCATGAACTTCTCTGTCTGGGCTGGCTTCAAACAGTGATCCTCAGATCTCAGCCTCCTGAGTAGCTACGATTACTGTAAAGGTGTGAGCCACTGGCACCTGGCTATGTTTTGGAATTTCAAAAAGATCTTAAAATTGTTGTGCAGTAGTATATCTGTTCTTATTTGCATTACCCTGATTGCATACGAAGTGGAGCATCTTTTCATGTTTCTATTTCCACCTACATATCTTCTTTGGTGTCTATCAGGGCACTTGCCACCCCTCTCCCCCTTTTTTGGCCGTCATCAGCTTGAACTCAGGCCCTGGGCTCTGTCTGTGAGCTCTTTTGCTCAAGGATAGTGTTCCACTTCCAGTTTTCTAGTGGTTAATTGGAGATAAGAGCCTCACAGACTTTGCTGCCTGGGCTGGCTTTGAACCATGACCCTCAGAGCTCAGCCTCCGGAGTAGCTAGGATTACAAGCATGAGCCACCAACACCCAGCTGGCCCAGTTTTTGTTTGTTGATTTATTGTTGAATTTTAAGAGTTCTTAGTATGTTTTGGATAATAGGCCCTCACCAGACATATATTATGTTAATATTTCTTCACAGTCAATGTGTTCTTTATTTTTATTCTTTTCATAACGTCTTCCATGAACATCAATTTTTAATTTTAGTAAAGAGAAGCTTGTCAAACCTTTCTCTTTATGGTCATGTATTTGGTATTCTATCTAAAAAAGCCATTGCTAAATCTTAGGTCATCTTGACTTTCTCTTATGTGAGCTTTAAATTTACAGTTATGACTGTGATCCATTTAGGTTAATATCTGAGAGGGATTTAAAGCATGTTTATATGTAGGTATCCAGTTATTCAAGTATCCTTTGCTAAAATTAATATCTCTTCTCCATTCTTCTACATGGGAAATCTTCAAGGAGTGGCTACTCTTCACCAAATCTCTCTGTTCCTCTGAGAATATATAAAGCAATCAAACTAAAGCAGTTTGTGCTATTGAGACAAGGCAGAAGGTACCACGTGATCACGCACGAGCTCTCTGTCTTCATACCTCCACTCATACTCACGCAGCTCATCTTTCTTATCTCTACCAGAAGTTTGGCTGCAGCTTCCCCAATGCAATTGCCCTTAGTTTCCCTCTATGGCATGGTACACCGTTCCTTCCCAAGTAGATCTATGTCTGTGAATCTATGAGTCTGAGTCCAAGTCACAACCAGCTTCCTGAGACCCCAGCGATTCTCAAGATGGTCATTCACTTAATCAATAGAGGGGGGGGCACCTCTGGGATTTGGAGACATAAAAATGAAGGATCTTCTGCTCTCTCTGGAGGAAACTGACTACAAGGCTTCTCCTGTGATGCTTCCATATCAATCATCAGTAAGCAAGCTGGGATGTGCAAAAGTCCCCTTCTTCAGGCACCAGTGTATCATGCCTATAATCCTATTAGGAAGCTGAGATCTGAGGATGGTAGTTCGAACCAGCATAGGCAAGCAAAACTATAACTAGAGGCATGGCTCAGGTGGCAGAGTTCCAGACTAGGAAGCAAAAAGCCAAGCAAGAGCATGAGGCCCTGCGTTCAAGCCCCAGTACTGGCACAAAAAATGATAATGAGGATGCAGGGGAAAAGGAACTCTCATACACTGGTGGTTGGAAATGTTACTGGTACAACCTTTATGAAAATCCTAAAAAACTGAAAGTAGCCTACCTTAAGTATAATTTTATGTATCAATGAAAAATTAATATTAAGTATATTGTAATTGTGTCCACATGCCATATACTATTAGAAGGATAGAAAACTCACTGAGACTCTACATAGAGAATTATTTGATAGGAGGCATATATAAAACTATAATGCATCAAGGAAAAAGATGCTCTTTTCAATAATGTTTCAGTACAACTGAATATCAATATAGAAGAAAACTGGACTCATCATAAACCCATAATACTTCCAGAAGTATCATAGATATAAATACAAAAGTTTAAACAAGGCTTTAAAAAAACAGCACAGGAGAATATCTTGAAAAATCTGACCAGTTAAAAACAACTCCCCCTCCAAAAAAACTTTCCAGCAAGAAAGCATAATATACTAGACTAAATTTAAAAATTATTGCTCATCAAATTATATAATTTAGATAGTGCAAAAGAGACTCAGTGACAGAAGAGACAGTGAAAAAAGCAAGCTAAATCTTTGTATAGCCACTTCACACAAAGAAGATATCCATATGACCAGTTGACATATGAAAAGATGTCCAGATTCCATTTATATCAAAGAAATGTAAATCAAACTATCATGAAATACACGCACACACACGCACACACACACACACACACACACACACACACACACACACATAAGAGCATAGCTCAAATTTAAGGTGAGGGGTTGGGTTGAAGCTCAGTGGTAGTGTGTTCAGCATCACAAAGTAAATGTGTGTAAATCTGAAAGACTAGAAACATAAATCTTGCTATTTGAATCATGTGGAGCAGCACAAATCATCATTGCTACAAAAGGGACTAGGTACTAGAAAAACCTCTTTGAGATACCATCAGTTAATACTTACTAATGTATTTTCCCCAACCAATATTTCCATTCCTTGAAATGTATATGTAATTTTGCTCCAGAGAACTATATACATGTTTACAAGAATATTCACAGCAACTGTACTCTTCATAGGTTGACACTGAAAAAAATATGCAAAATGTCCATCTATATTACAATGGGTTTTAATGTGCCATATATATGAAGTGAATTTCTAAAAGGAATAATAATGAATAAACAATATCAATAACACTGAGGAAAATGAGAATACTGGCCAAGACAGTTGAACTAAAACAGTGTTAAAATGAGATGTGGAGTAGCTGCTCCATCTCTACTGTCTCTTTGTGGATTATTCACTCTGAGTTTCCATCTGCACTAGACTTGCAGGTGGCATCAGCAAGCCCAGAACACTACCTCCAAGGACATGGACAAGAGCAATACTCTTTGAGAGTCCACAACTGGAACAGAAATCCCACTTGAAGTAGCAGTACATTTTCTTTGCTTTAGGGATTCAGAGATAATTATAATCTTTGTTCTCATTAATAAATTAGCACCCTGAGGTATCCAAACCTGGTAAATATTCCCATATATACCACCTTTGGGGTTCCCAGCTCCACTTATGTGGGGATAGGTGGTTCTAGAAACCTGCCCACAGTAACCCACCACTTGGAATTCATTTCTACTGCACAAGGAGAGAGGCTGAGTCTCCAGAAGGAGCTGTACTGTGAATTGTCTAGAATTGTTCAGAAGGAAAGAACTCTGTAGCTGCACAGTGCCTGAGACCGCTTGAGATCAGCTGGGTAAGTGTTGAATCAGATGGACTCTATTGAGTGTAGGCTTTCTTAGTTACTCATATCACCTTGGACAAATTACCTATCTTTGTCTCCATCTTCTTATTTGAAAAATAGAAATTTCTAACTTATGAAAATGGAACTCCAAGGAGATAAGTGAAGCACTTTTAGTGCTTAAGTACTTGCGTGTTAAACGCTTGGTCCCCAGCTTTATGTTTTGGGGAAGTGGTGTAAACTTTCAGAGCTGAGGCTTAGTGAGAAGGTTTTTGTGGTAGGAACAAATCTTTGAGAGTATTTCAGGACCCTGGTCTCTTCCTAGTTCTCCATTTCATGTACCAGCCCAAAGAGGAGCAGTTTTGCTTTACCTCCTGCCATGATGGACCAGCTCCTCACAGGCTAATCACAAAAACTGTGAGTCAAAATAAGCCTGTTCTCTTCAGTGGATTATTTCAGGTATTTGTTCTGGTGACACTGTTGTATGGTGAGAATACAGAGAAGCCACATTTTGAGAGCTCAAATCTGGAGTCAGGCCGGTAACTGCATGATGGACTGCTGGTCTCAAAGACCAGCAGCCCCGAACAGCGCTTGCACTAAGCTTTTAAAGACACCAACCACATTCTTGGGGATAGAGACCAAGCCTTGACAAAAGCAGATCATATTTGGACATAGGTACAAGTTCAGGTACCAACAGAACTTTTCCATCGACACACCTCAACTGTCCGTCCAGGGGAAATCTTAGAGGCTACTCAGAGGTGTTTGATTCAAGCCATTTAGGGAAGTAAGCAAGACAAAATCAGAGCATTCTCTGTGCAAAGCTTTCATAAGTCTATGACATCTGCATTTCTCTGAAGGTGAGCCCTCCTATATCACCTTGAGCTATGCATCTGCATTTAATGAATGGCCTCTCTCACCTCTAGGCTTTTTAGCACTGGCTGGAGAACTCCCTCTACCCTGTAACAGGCACCAGGGTGGCTGTAAGAAATTACTTAGAGTCAGCCTTAATGAATTCCTATGGTTCTTGAAATAACAGACAACCATATTGATGGCTGTCATCAATATGGATGCCATTTTTATGTTTGTTTCCGTCAGAACAATATTCGTTAGAACAAACAAAGGCTTTGAAATGTCATTCTCCATTTTATTCTTTTAGGCACACTGCAACATGAAGATAGGAAACCACACCAGAGTTTTAGAGTTCTTCCTCTTGGGGTTTTCTGAGGAACAGCAGAATTTTCTCTTTGGAATCTTTCTGACCATCTACTTGGTCACCGTGGCGGGGAACAGCCTCATCATCCTGGCTATCGGCTCCGATCCACACCTCCACACTCCCATGTACTTCTTCCTGGCCAACTTCTCCCTCACTGACTTGTGTTTATCATCTACCACAATTCCCCGGATGCTGACAAGCATCCAGGCCCATAGTAATACCATCCCCTATGCTGGGTGCCTGTCTCAGATCCATTTCTTCCTGTGGTTCATTGGCCTAGATGTTTTCCTCCTGGCAGTGATGGCTTATGACCGACTGGTGGCCATTTGTTATCCCCTTCATTATACCCTGGTCATGAGTGCCCGATGCTGTATCCTGCTGGTGGTTGTGTCTCTCATCCTTGCATTTTCATATTCTCTCACCCACACCATTCTCTTGGCTCAGTTATCCTTCTGCATGGACAACACCATCCCTCACTTCTTCTGTGACCTTCTTCCCCTGCTGAAGCTCTCTTGTTCCAGTACATATGCCAACCAATGTGTGCTGATGTACTGGGGAGGCGCATTAACCATCTTGATTCCTTTGCTGATCATCATTTCCTATGTCCGCATCATGGCCGCCATCATGAAAGTCCCATCTGCAGGTGGGAAATGGAAGACTTTCTCCACCTGTGGCTCCCACCTCTCAGCAGTTTGCTTGTTCTATGTGTCTGCCATCGGGGTTTACTTTATTCCCTCTGCTTCTGATTCAGTCAACAAGGACAAAATCGCAGCAGTGATGTATGCAGTAGTGACCCCCATGTTGAACCCGTTCATCTATAGCCTGAGAAACAAAGACATGAAGGGCGCCTTGGGAAGACTCCTGAGCAGGAGGGCACTGCGATCTTCATGAGATGTCATTGTGGGAATTCAGAGGAAGCCAACTTGTGGAATTATTTTTGTGCCTACATTAAATTCTTGGATCTGATTCGCTTTCTGACAGGGCAAGTGGATACTATCAATGAACTGCAACTTCCTCACTTCGTACAACAGGGTAACAATTATGTTCATACTACAGCATCATGTGTTTCTGCTTATATGTGTGTTTATGTATGTGCGTGTGTGCATATTTGATTGTTCCTTTTCTTGTGCTCATTTCTAGATGCACAATGCCTATAGCAAGATTCAACATATTCTCTTGAGGTAAATATTTTCACTTTGTCATTATACAGAAGAAGAAAAAAAACCCAGAGACTCCCAGAGATAAAATTAGTTACTCAAAGTGATACAGATAACAAGTGACAGAGGTAGAATTTCAACCCACATATCTGATCCTCATAAATGAATAGAACCTATATAGTCATCTCCATCATTAGTTTTCTTTATTTTCTCACACTGAATACATAAACCATTCAAACAATTTGTCTCAATGTTAACATGATTTGATTCAGGAAAAAGTGATTAAGCAGCTAGAAAATAGGTAACAATTCACAAAGATTCTGTAATCTTCACAGGGGAGTATGCCCTCTGCTTGAGGTTAAATCTAGTTAGATATTCTGAATAACTCATGAATCAAGCCATGTGGTCAAAGGTTAGAGTTCAACCATTTTATTCTCTTGGCTTTCCCCAAGTTTCTGTGATAAAATATTCTGTATCATTAGGCTAACAGTTTATGTTTGGAACTATTTAGAAATATACATTTCTAATCTCATTATTGCATCTCCTCTAGGGAAGGCTGCTGAGAATACATGCTGCCAACCTCCAGGGGATTTTTCAGTAACTCATTGGAGAAACATGGATATAATTGTACCCTGATCAAATTAACCTCCTGTCTCTGATTATCACTCTCTCTCATCCTACTTTACTTCTTCTTAGAAGGAAAAGGGGCATAAAGTAGCTAAGATTGAAGCTCTTTGTATGTGCGTGTGAAAATTTAAATGATCATCCTCTTTAAAATGTCAATAAACAAAAATAAAAATAAAAATAACACTCAGGAGACACTTTAGAACTTCCCCATACAACTGTCACCCTACTGAGATATAGCTGATGAACACAGACATGAACACTCTGCTCAGCTGGGAAGGGCAGAATCTTTTCAGTATTGTAGATGCTGGTCATATCCATATTGAGCCTCCTTTTTTCGAGCCTGAGAGACAAAGATAGGGAGGATGGTAAAAAAAATATAGCTAGAAGAAAAAAAAATCCCTGCCTAACACTCTTTCTCAGCAATTCAGCGTCTTGGCTCCAATTAAGTGCTGAGAGTTAAAAACTGGTCTCAGAGAGCCCTACCATTTGTGTTCCATGAACCTGAAACTTCTTTGTCATCCTGCTTACTTTCTGATGTCTGAGGATGGAGCCCAACCCCAGGATAACAATAACATCTGATTATCTTTGTGAAGTGCATGTGATCTGAGTAGCTGTCCATGCTCAAAATGGTTTCTGTCCATTTCTTTTTCTGGACACCCAAAAAAGTCAATATGTAAGGGACTTTATATACCTATTAAATGAAAAATTTAATTCTAAATTTTGTCTAGCTCAAGTTTTAAAGAAATTAAGGAGGACATTCCTATCCAAGAACATAGGATTCCTTATGTCTGGTAGAATGAAGTACAAGGGGAATAGTCTTATATGTTACACATACGCACAAAGTAACCAAAAGATGAATTAGAAGGGGGTTTAAATCCAAGGTTCCAGGGTTAGTTTTTCCATGAATGAAATGATTAATCATTGTATAATCATTTAACAATGCTAAGCTTTGTCTTCTGCATTTGTTTAGTTTTCTTTAAGTAATTGGACTATTTACTCTAGTTCTGACAGTATATTATTGTGACAAGAACACAAAACTGAATTCATAAATTAGAAATTAATCTACCACTTTCACATTATCTAACTTGATACAACTCCAGCTATTTTACCAGTAAAATGTTATGAACATTATAGGATTATTTAGAGTGATAAGCAAAATGTGAACTCATTAGATCAAAGTGAGGATTCAATAAACACTAAATGTTTTGAGAGATAGTGCCTACCTAATAAATCTTAGAGCTGATCTTCTATTAGGACAACTCCGAATAACTCACACTATGGAAGTTTGGTTCATAGTATTCTCAACCCAATTCAAGTGGGTTCTTGATTCATTAACAAAAGTCCTGTGAGTGATTACTTTCTCTGTTTTGCTTCTTGGAAGTTTCTGGATACAGTCTTGGAAAATCCTTCAAGGAGAATTATGATTGATTAATTTAATCCTTCATAGTTGCTTCACAAGAGTTACCAAAAGTCAATGAAATGTAGTTAGAAAAGCTTGCTAGCTTTAGGAAGAATGCTTCTTTCCCAGGCTTGCTCTGTGCTTTCAAGTGGAGAAAGCTCGTTGAAGTGACACCTATCAGGACTCAGTCTGCCTTGTCTAATCAACT